CTCTTAGTAATAATTATATCTATATAGTTATATTAATAGGTACTAACTAAGAACTCTATAAATAAAGTTTAATTTAAGTAGGGAAAGATATAATATTAATAGTAGATATATAGCTTCCTTAAAGCTATATTAGGTATATAATAATATCTAGTAATTATTATCTCTATTTATATAGTTAGATTAGATCTTATATTTATTCTTAGCTTAGATTAAAATATAAAAGATAACTAGAATCTCTTAAAGTAAAGAAGATATATATAAGGCAGCTACTAGCCTACCCCCTACCCTTATACTCTTTAAAGACTCCATGTCCTTAATGATAATGAAAATCCCACTATAATATAATAAAGAGAATTTTCTCTCTATTTCTCTACTTTATTATACCTACTATTATACTACTTAATTATAATTACTATTCCCTTTATATTTCCTTTATCTTACTTTATTTATTACCTTATATTAGAAGCTTACTTAATTATAATTACTATTCCTAGTATATTCTCTCTATCTTATATACTTTATTTATTACTTTATATTATAATATTAAAATAGCTAAAACTAGAGCTACTACTAGAAAGAGTACTAGTAAAAATCTAATAAACTAAAGAACTAAACTTAAGAATATAGCCTATAAGATATTACTAAGATAGAAGAATATTATTATATCTAAGATAAAATTAAAGAAAAAGTACTATATCTACCTAGGAGGTAAGTACCTAACTATTAGATTATTTTATAGATTATTATATTTAACCCTATATTAGTTACTATATTATAGTAGATTAAGTAATACTAGAGTAGTACTAAACTTCTTATATAGAAGTTACTATTCTAGTATCTAATTTAAGAGATCTATTATAATATTATAAATAGGAATAAGGAAATATACTAGTAGGTAAGTACCTTAATAGCCCTCTAAAAAGCTATAGAAGTAATGCTTATTATAGAGTTTATAAGTATAGAATAAAATCCTATAAATAAAATAATATATAAACTAATAAGGAGTTAATAGTAGTGAATCTAGCAGCTATATATATAAAGTATATTACTATCTAGGTTAAGGATATGTACTTTATTTAGTATATTTATAGATATATAACTAGGTCTGGCATACCTAGTGGAGGATGCCTTAGTAGCACTAACTAAGAATAAGAATAAGCTATTATTTATTAATAATAACTAAGAATAAGAACTTAATAGAGTATATTTATAGAATTTATAGCTATAGGTAATATAGGTGGGTGATAGTAAAAAATTAGTTTTGGCTGGTTTGTATATTCAGTCCACTGTATATTCATCAAATGGGAAGCAACTGCTCTGCCTCCGGCTTACTTGTTCCTGTTAGTTTCATCTTTGGACTGTAAGGTTGAGATGCGTACTCCAGTACGGTTGGATAGGACCCTGAGTTCACCCGGACTACTACTCTTGTTTCCTTTTACCATACTATTTCTCGGAGCAAGGGCTCATCAATCTCCCCCTTTAACATGGTGATAGCTAAGTAGTCTGTCAAACAGCTCCGGGTCGGATTTGCCCTATTGGCCGTCCCTATCTATAAAGCACGCTCGGGTGTACCTGTTCTGAGGCATTGTGGTTCAACTGACGCTCCGCTTTCAGACGTATGTGTTGAGGCATGGCAAACAAATTTGGAAGTTAAATTGTCTGATATTTCCAGTCCGAGCGTCTCAGGCCGCATATAAGGCAGCAGTAGCTCGATTGGGCTCCAGTTTGGCCTGACATATCTCCCAAAACAGCATCAGAAGTCAGGATGATAAGAGGCTTTCTGAATCCATTCTCTGTCCCTGTCTGGGCAAAAAGCATCCAAATCGACGTGTCTGTCTATCTCCATATTGCCTTGCCTCTTCTGGCTTATAAATAGCAGATTCGCCTATAGGAACATCCTGTCCATTTCGAGGTCGATAGTGCGAAATCGTTCCCTTTTTTCGTTTGGCGGGCTTGGAGAGTATATTTCGATCTCAAAGGAAAGTTCATCTCCCCTCAGGTCCGCTTCAAAAGGGAAAAGGATAGTATATTCGACATCCATGAGAATATCATGGTTGCAATGTGCTCAACGAGACTCACAACGCTCAGGTGAAGGACCTTAATAAATATATTAGCCTCAATCACTGAGTATTTAATGCCTGTTTCCTCAATATTTGCAAAGTATTGCATCCCGTGGTTGCGTTCCATGGCAGAATGGGTGGTAGATGGTGACACTATGTGCACTCCACCACACTGTAATAGTGGCTTGATTTAATTAGTTAAGTCTGGGTGACTATAGGTGCTTGCGGGAGACTACTCACCCCATCTATTCTGCACTCTCCCAGGCTCACCCAGGCTCACCCAGGGTCATATAACTAAAAGTAGTGTCGCGTGACAGCAGCACTTATGGACCTTTTGACTGCGTTAAAGCCACACACTGGCTGGTTAGTAGTTGGGTGGGTGACCACCAGCGAATCCTGGCTATCGTATTTTTTTGATCTTTTGCTGTCTTTTTGGAAAGTTTTCCTCGCGTGGCATGGCTGGGGAACCTATAGGCTTGCCTACTGCACGTGGACGAACCGTCAGATGGAGCTGACAGAGGAGCTCAGGGAAGGGCAATTAGGCGGACAGAGGAGCATGCAAGAGGGAATTGAACATCTCGATGAGAAAAGAGTCCCAGCGGGCCAGGTCTACATGCAGTTTCCCGAGGGCCCCTACCGTAGGACACTGTACTAGAGATGAGTGTGCCTTGACGTGATGGTGACTTCCAAGTTTGCTTCTGGGCTCACCTATATTTCGTCATTTCCAAATGGAGGGTACTCCCTAGGGTTTGCTTCATTTCCCAAGGTAACTGGGCTGTTGATCAACCCCCAAGTTTGAGAAACGGATGATCCATCAGTTCGCGAGCTGTCTTCCTCTTCTCCGGGAGCCAGGTGAGCATGTTTCGAACAAAGGATAAAAATGCCTCTCGGTCCTTCTCTTCGAGGAATGGGGTTGTGTCCTCTAAGCTTCGGGGCGGGATCAATTCATTATAGCGGAATTCATCTTGAACAGTCAGTATGCCAGGTATTGATGTATGGGACACTTGCCAACCAACCTTCTGCGTTAAAGAAAGGGCCAAGGAAGAATTCTTGAGCATTGTCGCAGAGTTTGCCAGTGTCGTTCGTGACAGGCTGGGGCCAGTTGTGCTCTGACATGGCCTTTGATTTCGCGAGCAATGCCCGAGGGGGCGGGCCGAGTAGAGCAATCATTTCTGCGAGGTGTGACTTTGCATCATATCGGCCGTTTGTATCATGCACCTGCTGGAACAACTCCCTGCTCCCAAGGATATTCCACAACTTGCCGAATAGGATTATTAGCATTAAGCCCAAGCCAGCGATTGTAACCAAAAGAAAGGGAAACAAGACACCCAGTGTATTGTACATTCACCTCCAGAAATCAGTGACAGGGGTCTTACCAGCACACCAAAATTCCAAATATCTGCCTTAAAATCCCAGCCGCAGCCAAGGATCACCTCTGGTGCACGGTAATAGTCGGGTTGGATGGGATAGATGCCAAGTTGCTCTCCTACCATTCCGTCTCGAGTAGACGGCTTGTCGAGTCTTCTTGAGAGCCCGAAATCGGCTATTTTGGGAATCATATTCTTGATTTCTCTCCCGTCAAGAGCACCGAAGTCATTATGGCAGCGGTAGATAGTGCGGCCACTCTCGCCATCAACCTTGCGTTGCATCGGTTGCTGTCGTTTAATGAAGTTGGTAAGAATGTTGTCGTTTTCAAAGCTCATGAGGATATTCCCTAGCTTGAGATCTGACAAGTAGGTTAGTTCTTTATAATCCAGAATAGGCACAGGAGAATTGCGATAAGCACTCACCTGTGTGCACAACTTTACACTCTGCGTGAAGATAGTCAAGGCCAACAAGAAGGATGTAGATATAGGCCTTCGCAATAGGCAACGGAAGCTTGCGATCAACAAAACGCCTCAGTAGAATCCAGAGAGGCTCTCTCATCGGTTCGTACACAAGGCACATGTGCTTCCCTTCCGGGCCAGCTACCTCAAAGTCATCCAGGCATGTCCGTAGAATCACGCGGCCACGGTGCTCTGGATTTTGCTGCGAGATATGGCTTTCAATCTCCTTCTCATGCCGCGCATCGTCAGCATTGTTACTGTTGATTATTTTCAGGGCCACTGTTTGTTCAGATTGCCATTTGAGTCTTGATTGTGAGGGCCAGGGTCAGTTTCTCCCCAGTCAACATGAAGGTAGCAAGCGCGGCTACGGATGTGGATAGGTACCTTGAAATGTCTCGGGCCAGCCACACGGTTGATTGTGATCCCCATCCGATTTTGACAAGTAGTTGAAATTTGTTGGCCAGTACTTCTCCGGGCTTTGCTGGGTAGAAAGACGCTGAATTGTAGTTAGGACAAACCTCCTCGTCGACAAGTTCCTGCTGAGGAATTGGAGGCCCCGAGTCGGGCGGTAACTGCCATCGCGACTTTCTGGCGAAGGAGAATATAGTACGCCGTGATGTCAAGGTCAGCCGCCGAAGAGGTGACATTGGGCCATGCAAGCGCTATTGGAATGCACTGGAGATGGTCAAGTACAGGAAGCTGAGCTCGAAGTTCCCTAAATAGCCGCCAGGAGGCTGTAGGCTCGAGTGCTGAGACAGTCTTGGCGGCGGTCGGAGAACAATCAGATTCTAAGAATGTGAGCCAGCTTATGCTGAACATATTGGTGGATTACCTCAGTCTCAGTGATGAAAGTACATGGATAAATAGGGGCTCTTCAATTCTGTCTGTTTAATGTAGCTGCTATTGATGCATCCAGACCTGCTGCAACTGGGCTTAGCTTCTTATGCGCACATTAGTGAATGATTAACAAGCCAATAACTTTATATCACCAAGCAATTCTGCGTAGTATCTTCCAACTGTCATTAATCTTGCTTTCCTCTAGTTTAAATATGTGTACTCACCAGATGCCAGTGGCAGATACAGTACAACTCGAGGAGTGCCAATTGAATTGTTCTTAGATAGTATAGAACCACCCCGTGTTTGTGATAATATTGCGCCTGGCAAAATTGGGACTTTTACCATTAGCTTCAAGCACCAAATTCCCCTGCGCATCCAGTGATTCTGGTGGCACCGACAGCCTCAGTAGATTCTTATCAATAGGGGCCACCTTCCTTGTCCAGTCAGGCAGTTCCTCCGGAGTGAAAGGTGGCCACGGGTCTCCATCTTCTTCACGATACACATGCACTCGATTCCTCCGCAGACCCAGACTCAATCTCCAATTTACTGCCTCGTGTAATTCTTCAACAATGGAGGCCACAATCGCATACCGAAGCGGGTCAGGATCTCTCGGGTCTGGTATGTCTCGTAGCTTCCAGTCTCGCCGATAAAAGAAATATTCCGTCTCCCACCCCACCAGCTCGTAATGATCGGCGAGGTGGAGCTCATAGAGCCGGTAAATCGATCGCAGGGGCGTGTCGCGCATGCGCCAGATAGGAATAGCGCGGAGATTATGGATATCGTCAAAATGAGATGCGATAATGCCCGTCTCGTTCTTTGTATCTTCGATAAGCTCGCGGAGAGAAAATGGACCAGGGATTGGGAAGAACCAGGACTGATAGGGGATGAACATGCGCAGGAGCGTGAGCAGGGGATACTTGTGCTGATGTCCGAGTCGGATGAGACTACCACGTAGTCGGATGAGACTACCACGTAGTCGGAGGGGTGAGTGTGCGTAGCGAAGCCACGTTCGGAAACGGGCCCAGAGAGATATCTTGGGACGGCGACGTGGAGACATTGATGGCAGGTTCACTGCAGAGCAACAAGGAGGGACAGCGTTTCTTCTCACGTAACCTTTGCCTGAGGCCCTGAGCGAGATGCTTCTGCATGCCTCCCTTGGTTCTCTCCGTAGAAGCTGTGCAAGAAAATATATTCGATGGCTCCCCTACCTTTATGTCCAACCTAGTCTGACATGCCTCGTCAGGCCTGACGATATAAAGCGAGAGCGTGGATCCCTAGGTTCAATTTCCGAGAAGCCAGAAGGGAGGTACGGTGATTCTCTTCGAAGGAGAGACCAGGGAGCAAACGTCCTTCCCATTGGCAGACATAGCCGTCGTTGCGCTTCATTGAAAATAAGATACTCTACCATAAGCATTGTACTAGTAGTAGGTAATTCAGAACTGGAAACATAATTTCGCTTTACACCTACATACAAAAATCTAGCATTCAAAAAGTTCTACCCTTCATAAAATACTCAAATGTCCATCGCTTTTGTTGATTTACCTTACCGGCCCTCAACTACAGTAGAAAATGGGTACTTATTGATGTAAATGCTCTTGATAAGTTATAGATATCGCTACCAACATAGAATCGCCCAAATAGTCTAGAGGTAGGATTCATCCTTCGGGGTCTGTTGGCTTCGGCTCTCAAAAGAGCTCAGTATGGATGAGGCCCGCGTTCGAATCGCGGTTTGGGCCCTTGCTTTTTTTCACCACTTTTTTTGTTCCCACCGTTGTTGGTTGGGTTTTGTTGGTGCTGGCCGGTCCCTCACATTTTTTATTACATTTATTTATTATATATATATATATTTCTTATTACGTATTTACTGTATAGGAGTGATTGAGTTTTTGTTTTAAATAATGTGCCAAGGTCTCTAAATAATTTATGGTTCTGACAATAAATACCCCTTGGAATATATCTCCATGTACAATGTCTATTGTATTCACGTCGTCTAGATCTAATTCACTGGAATCTACCGCATGGTCACCAACTCCTCTGCACTGGTCGGGTGGATAGCAACACAGCTATCAAAGTCCTTCTTGGTAGCACCCATCTTAATCGCGACACCGAAACCCTGCAGCATCTCGCCCACGCCGAGACCCAGAATGTGCAGACCGACCACCTTCTCCTCGGGACCGACACACACAATCTTGAACTCGGTCGGGTTCTTCTTCTTCTCCTCAGCAGGCAGGACGTCGTAGTACATCGCGGTGAACTTGGTATAATAAACCTTGACCTTGTCGTCACCGTAGCGTTGGCGGGCTTGCGGCTCAGTCAGACCGACGGTGCCGACTTCGGGGTGCGCGAAGACCACGGTAGGGATATTCTCATAGGAAAGTTTGGCGGACTTGAGGGCCGGGGGACCGAAGAGACGGCTGCCGAGTTGGCGACCGGCTGCAATGGCGACTACGCGAAGCAAAAGTATTTAGTCACGTTGTTCAACAGACGGATAAACAAGAAAGTAACGTACCTGGTGTCAGCTCCGCAACGCCAGTGACATCGCCAAGGGCGTAAACACCTTCAGCCGAGGTATTCTGGTACTGGTCGACAACGATGTGGCCACTTTCGTTGAGTTTCACGCCGGGAATCTCGAGATCCAGATCCCCGACCTCGGGCTCACGACCGACAGCCCACAGCAGCTCGTTGAATTCCTCCTCCGAGCCGTCCTTGCCAATCAGCTTGAGCACCTTGTCCTTGCCCTTGCCGTCCTTCAGCAGCTGCACCTCCTTGAACCCGCCGTGCTTCTTGTGGATGCGCACGCCGGTCGCCTCGTACCGCTCCGTCATCGTCTTCTGGATCATAGGGTCGAACTTACGCAGCATCGTCTCGCCCCGAATGAACATGTGGGTCTCCACGCCAACGGCGGCCATGACACCAGCTAGCTCGACGGCAATGTAACCCGCACCCACGACAGCAACCTTGGGCGGGAGCTCCTCGATCTCAAAGAACCCGTCGCTGGTGATACCATGCTCGGCGCCCTTAACAGGGGGAAGCATGGGCTTGCCACCGGTCGCAATGAGAATGTGAGGCGCCGAGTACCGCGTCTTTCGGCCGTCATTGAGCGTGACCTCGATGACCTTGGGCTCGACGAACCGGGCGCGGCCGTGCACGAGGTCGATACCTTCCTTGCCCCAGTTTCTCTCGTAGGCACCGTTCAGACGCTTGACGACGGCGTCGCGGGTTTCCTTGAAGTGACGGTAGTTGATCTTGATGTCCTTGGGGATGTCGTAGCCGTAGTGCTCGCCGACGTGGAGAGCTTCGTTGATGGAAGCGAAATTCCAGGTCATCTTCTTGGGGACGCAGCTGCAGACCCTTCAGTTAGCATATTCCACGCTTCCCTGGGTCGCACGGGGAGCAAGGCACGAAACATACCCGACGTTGACGCAAGTACCACCAGGCCGTCCACTCTCGACAATCAGCGTCTTCGCACCGTACCAGCCAGCGGCACGCCGTGCGCTACCGCTACCACCACTACCACCACCCAGAACAATATAGTCATACTGTTGGACGTCCGTAGGAGCCATCTTGGTGGAGTCCGCCGCAACCGCAGTCGATGAAAAGTGTCGAGAGAGAGAGGCGAGACGGGGCGCTGTCTTGGAAATCAGAGTGGGAGAATCCAGTTTTCGACTCGCAGGTTTGGCTCGTCGAGCTGCAACTGTAGAAATGACTCGAGCAGACTGAATAATAGTTGATGAACAAACCAGTTGCGGCACACGAGGTTTGAATGCTTGAGCTGGAAGCAGAATGTGGACCGAGGAGCGGGAGAGCATGGAGGGTCCAGTTGTTCTGTTTTTTTGTTGCCCCTCTGCAGGTGGTGGATGTCGAATGAGGGGAGAAAGGAAGGAGGGAAACGGACTATTAGAGGTGCAAAGCTAGCCAAAGTAATCGAGAGCTAAATGGACGCTCCCAGGATTGAAGCTGGCGGGGAACCCGGATGTGGTGGATGACGGAGAATACGGATTGCTGACGCACCAGAAGTCAGCGGAGTAGATCGACTACTATGTGAGGTAGTAGTAGGCAGTGAAATCAGATAACCGTTCACAACGACCAATTGCCTCTCAATGACTATCTTATAAGATTGACGGGCGCTTTCCGAGTCTCCTAATCCTCCGAAGATGGACGCCGACTTCGCCGATAGGCGCTGATTTTGGCGTTCGAGGCTGGAGATTCGGTCATCGCACCCACACGTGACGCGATTGATTGCTAAGCGTTTGGTGATGAATGGCACAGAAATGACAAATCCTTTAGAGAGTCGGGTGCTCGAGGTTTCAAGAACGTTATGAGATAAATGTGGTTGTCCTATTTTGGGAGAATATCTAACCCGAAATAGGGGTATCGAAACGTTATGTATCTATTTACATGGGAGACAATGCGAATTCAAGCTGCCGGTACTTTACATCTCGGAATCCATCACACATAAGTAAAGCTTTGCAGCACGTAGATGTGAGTTCGAAGCAAAACGACAGCATCAATGAGGACAGATTTGCAGGTTGAAGTAAATGGAGAATTGCCCTGACGGCGCCCGCGCCAACAAGTCCTCCGTTCATGCACTCGCTCCATCCAACAGAAGATAGAAGATAGAGAAGGGGAATTATTGAGGAGAATGAAATGTTCCTGTGTTATAAGAGATGAGCTGACCAGATAGGATTGTCCTAAGAAACTGATGATAGCGAGGAGGGATCATCAAGCAGAGGGCTACCGGGCACTGCATCCAGAGCAACGGTGTGCAATGCAGGTTTCTCTGACTCTTGTAGCTGTCCCCGTTGGTGACGTTCAATTCGCTCCTTGACCCATTCCGCCACTTCCTCATCCTCGGTCGCAGTACTCGTATCGGGCCCGCCAGGTTGGCCGTCAGACGAAGCGGCGGATGTCGCATCGGTACCATTCGACTCCGTCGGGGGTTGCATCAAGGGAGCAAGCCAGGGATGTCTGAGCAACGTACTATACGAAGGGCGCTTACTGGGATTTTTATCCAAGCAAGCGCGGACGAACGCATGCGCCTCTTCCGAATATCCTTGCTCTGGTAATGTTGGCGGATCCCCATGCACGATAGCCTTAGAATGACATCAGAAAGTGTTCGACCACGCGAATAGATTGAGAAGGGGTTGAGAAAGACTTACATGCAACTGGCTGAAAATGTTGTTAAAAGTTTCTGGAGGATATGGATAGCGACCGATAGCGCATTCGATAATGGTCAGGCCCAAACTCCAGATGTCACTCTGCACACTATAGGTTCCACCACCAGCCGCGCCGGACTGCTGCACGCCACCTCCTGCAATACGTTCAGGTGCCATATAACTCTGGCAGCCAATATTTGTCTTCGCGATACTGGCGACCAAATTGCCGCTCACGCCGAAATCGCAGATCTTGATTTGACCCCGAGAGTTGACTAGAATATTAGTAGGCTTCACGTCCCGATGAATGATGTTATGGTCGTCTTTGAGGGTCTTCAATCCCATGACGGTGGATAATGCGACCTTTCGAAGAATGTTTTCGGGCACGCCGTCCTTGTAGAGTTTATCAATAGAGCCTCCGTCCATATATTCCACACACATATAGACCGCACCCTCCTGAAAGAAAGCGCCGTAGAAGTCGATAATGAATGGCGACACGCAACGGTGCAAAATATCCAACTCCATGATGATCTGGGCAAACTTGTTTTCATCCAGCTCCAAGCGAATCTCCTTCATCGCCATAATGTAACCGGAAAGATTGTCCTGGGCCTTAGCCGCAGTAGTGCTATCCGGCGTCGAGTTCTCAGTCGGGCGACTAACGATGCCGCGAAGCCCCATACCAGGTTTCCGCATCTGGGGCCGGCTATGTCGAACTTTGTAGACCGTTCCGTAGTTGCCCTTACCTAACTCATCCAGTCGCTCAACCTCATCTAACGAGATGCTGAATTTATGTCCCGACGAGAATTCGACGCCGCCACCGTGCAGGATCGCCTTGTTCTTGAAATTCAGAGTTCCTGCCTTCGTGTCAATATACTCCGAATATTTGCTGAATGCCGACCCTCCAGATGCGTCCGAAGATCCATCGCCAGGCGAGCTGTCACCAGACCCAGTCGCAGGGCCAGTGGCATCTGACAGTTTTAACCCTGGCTTCATTCTTTTTGCGGCCAGGCTGCCGGTTTTCGGTGAAGGCGAATGAGAACCTGCAGAAGCTCCCGCCACCGAGGGTGAAGATGCCCAATTTTTACCATGAGGGCGTACTGTCGGGGGAAGGCGTCCGGCAAGTGCACCTCCCATCGGAGGCGATGGCACTCCTATCGGACTTGGCGAACCGGAAACGCTCGGTCTGGATGAAGGGATTGTTCCGGTAGAGACAGCATGAGGTAAATGCGGGGGAGCACCCTGTCTGGAGAGGGAGAAGGCCTTCATCTTGGCCAGGATGTCCTGATTCAAACCGCCCGCCTGCGCGCCACTCATGGAGGCGTGTGGCCGTGTCGGCGTCCCTGCACTACGCCGAGCCGCATTGATTTGGCCTAAATGAGTTGACGAAGCACTTATTCCCGATGTCATATCTCGGTCCGGCCGAAGGGATGGTACCGAAGTAAGTGACGGAGGAGCAGTGACCGAGGGGGAAAGGTCATCGTTCGTTATGTTGTCGGATCCGTTGTCAATTTCGACCTGAGAGGACCGAACCTCTGCGACAGGTTCTTGTTCTGGGCCCATTGTAGCCGCGCTCATCGTGGAGT